TTTATGGATAATGATACACCGGTCAACAGAATGGAGGATGCAGTTGATAAGTTTAACAGGTTTTTTGTGAATGTTGGTCCTAGTTTAGGAAGAAGCATTTGTACAGATGATACAGCTGTCACTATAAATAATAATACAATTGAAAGGAACATGAGTTCTATGTTCTTGAAGCCCATAGTTGAAAAGGAAATTATAGAGATAGTGAATAAATGTGGTAACAAAACATCTAGTGATAGTGATGGTATCACCATGACAACTGTTAAGTGGGTAATTGAGGAGATATGCAAACCATTAACCCATATTTTTAACATGTCATTTTGACTTGGACAGTTCCCTAACAATATGAAAATTGCAAAGGTTATTCCACTGTATAAATCTGGTGATAAGCACAACAAATAATACTAAAAAACTCCCTGAACTCCTGGGTAGGGTCATAATTCTCTGCAGCTTTGATTGTGTGAACAACACCTTTCACATTATACACAGCCTTTTCCCCATTGAATAGAAAATACAGTATCTGTGAACTTATATGTTCTGTTATAATCAACTGTATGATAGTAATGCACAATGAAGTCGAAGACTTGTGAGACTGACTGGATAAAGAAGCAGCTTCATAATCAAAGCTCCAAACACATTTTCAATTTAATTCAAGAACAATGGATTCTACATATCTCATAATGCAGCCTATAAACTGTTCATTAGTCCCCTCCCTATTTGCTATTCAGCCTCATTTTTCAAACCCCACTCCTCCAATTTTTAATGCAGACTTTCTGTTGTAAATGTTTAGTCTCAAAGCCCAAGCTGAGATGTCAGGGTTAGACTAAAACTTTATTGTCTAGCTTGGAAGGCTGATAGAACAATCTCAACTCACGGTCAAGTTACACTCTTTTTCTGGAGCTTCTGACTAACTGTTTCACAGCAAAGTTTCACAGTTGCACCAAGGAATGTTAGATGTCCAATCTTGTGACGATGCTGAGCGCCTTTTTCTCATCCACACTGATATAAAAGTTTAACCTGACAGTTAACAATGGCAAAGGAACAAAATATGCTTTTCAGAATTGACAAAGATATTATACCTAGAGTTTCCCAGTAGTACTAACCATGACCAGAAAATTGGTCTTCATGTGCAACATTTCCTCTTCTTTTCTTCGGTCATCTTCATTTGTTAACTAATTTCTTTATTTAACTTATTACAGAAGAGACTGGTGCTCATTTCCCAAGCCAGTAGTTGTTTCTGTTAACCTTGATCATTTCATAACCTTGTGTTTTTCTAACCTTAATGAAGTAGGCCTACTTACAATATTCTGTATCCAAACCATGATTAGTCCCCTACACAGCATTTGGCATTCGATCAAATACATGCTCCTTGTTTGTTTGTTTTGTAACATGAATACCATATCTCTTCTGTTGACTGTGTTGAGAGTTAACTTTCAGTTTTGTAAAATCCTGTCTCAAAATATCAATAACTGTTTCACAAACCTGTTGCTGAATTGTATTTTTTCATGACCTGAAGCTGCACCTCAACCAACACAGCCCCTTGTATTACTGTATATTAAGACAGGACTGATTTTTGTCTGAATGGCCACTAATGCTGGACAGGTGACAAGAAAGTTTCCATTATTCTCCAAAGCCCTCTGACAGACTGGTGGCCAGGCAAACCATTCTTAAATCAAGAACTGAAGTTAGAACAGCAGAGAGATTTCTGTGGAAGCCCACCTTGCTCTAAAAATGCATGAAGTATCTGCATGGCACATGTCACCACTGTGCCCTTACGCCCCACTGCTCCATGTCCCTGGCATATGATTTCAAATTTTCCAATACATATTAATAAATTTGTATTTCTAATATTAGACTGTGTGGCTGTGATTCATCAGTGGTTCTGTGCACTGGCCTGTGTAATGTTTAGCTCCTTGCAGTTTGTTTTTGGGTCTGCATGTGCTCTTTCTCCGGTCCTGATTAACCTTCACATCAATTTTTCAGCACAACTGGATCTTCATTAACAGTTATATCAATATTCAGGTCCTTTTTCACATCAGTGTTTGGAACCCACTTGGCCTTAGTTGTTAATTTTCTCATCAATGTTTGGACCCCTGTTAGAGAATTGTAATACATTTAATGGTGGGGGCATCTTCTCACTGAATGTTCATGGGTTTTGTTCATACTGCTGCTTCTTGTTAAGGTTCTTTTGTGGAGTAATAACAATATACATTAATGTTAAAAGAGGAGCTATTGCTCCAGAAATTCTACTGTTTAGGCAAAAACTGGTTAGTCTATAGTATTGTCTAGTCTAGACATAGTACTGTCTAATTTAAAGTGGGGCTGGGTAAAAAAAAATGCATACACTATACTCACTATCTCTCCAGTCTCTGCTTCAGGAGGAGCAAATGAAGTTAGGTGGTGAAAGGGTGTGAAGCTGTTTCACTTAGTGGAAACTAATGTATGCCAAATGATATGTAACTGTAAAATGAAACACAGCTGTAATTTAATGTAATCATCTAATGATTAAATTCAGAAGACAGAAGGTGACTACTTTCTTTTTTGCAGGGCAAAAAGGGACAAAGAAAACAAATACAAATTTCACAGACGGCTTGAATGCCTGTCATAGATAGTACTGATTTTTTTGTTGTTGATCCACTCACCTCATTCCTAGTGAAATATTCTATACTTCAGAACTGGATGTGTTCAATGGACACCAAACGATAGCGACCGATCCACACTCCAGTCCAGTTGGTGGCAGCAATGCACCATTTCAGTGTTTGCCAACCACAGTAAAACACCAAGAAGAACACGAAGAAGGACACTGGACTGCACTAAAAAATGCTGTCATGTTACAATTTTACAGTTCAAAATTGGCAATTTTACAGTGTTTTACTGTAACACCACTAGGTTTTATGCTGTAAACCAATGTAGTTATTGTACTGTACATTTTCATGTGAGGCTGGGCTGTGGGGCCATTGATGGCTTTATACCAGGAGGTGTCCTGCTGCTGCTACTGCCTTTGTCTAGGAGTGTGAAACTGGAATCGGTTTGAGTATTTTGTTTTTCTCATGACTAATGCTCTGTTGTAATCTGTTCCATAGGTAGATTTTTTTTTAAATCTCATTAATGTTTCTGTCATCCTCTGTAACAACTTGGCAGGTGCATGTGTGTGAGCTTATGTAGCCCACCTGTAGTGGCTGCACCTGTGCTGCTGGTAAGACCAGATGAAAACAAACATGATTTCTCCAAGGCTTTTACAGCCTGCACAGTGGCATGCACTGTGGTGCATGTCAAATCCATCTCTGAATCTGTGACTCAATCAGATAAGAAAAATGTGTCTGAAAAAATGTCACATTGTGTCAGTATTTATTATCCAGAAGTAATTCAGTCAGACCAGGTTTCAAATTTCTCACAAGTTCTCACAGATGTTAAAGTAGCTCTGTGGTCCAACATAACCAGGCTTAGTCTTGTCATGCTCAGAGTCAGGCCACTATGGAGGTCTGGGGAGCAGGTCTGCCCTGATTAATGAATGCAACCAGAGAAGTGCCACAAAAGAGCGCAGGGTTCAGGCTAAAGTTGATTATGTTGACAAAGGCTTTATGCAGCTGGAGAACTGGTTAAAGAAGAACTGGCATCAGCACAAACAAACAAACAAACAAATACTTTTGTTTTCTTCATACTGAGTGCTTTGAGTCCTGGGAATGTAGTACTGTACTTGCATTTATCCCCTTTGCTAGTTCATCACTGTATGCAAACTTCACAAGCCCTTACACAGCAGTAAGATAACCTTTTGAGCAGAACTACATCCTAAATGTCACAATTCACCTTACCATGGAAACTGGCTAAAGCCCTGCTATGTGTGCACCTGTCAACCAGCCTATTATTGCATGTAGCAAGATGTGGGACATCCTCATGTGCCATGGGTAGACAATGCAATACCATTTGAATGTCCTCCTAAGCTGTCTGAGTTTGAGAAAACAGACCAGGCCAAGGTACATCAAGCTTTGCTACATGGTTGCTGGAGCTCTCTCTAATCTGTTTCCTGGGGTACACTGTATGGAGGTGGCACAGCTGATCCACAGCTTCCCATCTTTGCTTGTAGATATATACACATAGCCATATTAACCTAATCAAGCATTACAGTATATTAATGACGAAGATGCTAAACAAATAAAACTAAGATTCTTCAGAGTAAATACAGAAAGTAAAAGTAGGTACTGGAAAATAACATCACCAAACCCTGCTCTTCAAAACCAGACACAAAAGCAATAAGAAACAAACAAAACAAAACACAAATATACTGTAGAAATCTCACATGCACAATAACAAGAACAGGTTTGAATTTGACCAAAAATAGTGTCTGTATAAGACCACATCACTCAGGGTGAAAAGATCATTACGAAAATAGGTTTACAGGGTTGACTATGTTATGAAACATAAAGATAAAATTGTTCTCTGCCTAGGAAATAAATGAAATGAGTCCTGTCATGTACCTACCACATTCTTTACTATTCATAAAGTTGAGTGAGACATCAGCTTAATTAACTGTTTTAGAGATGTTTCCTAAGTGTTAATTAATTTTCCGCTTCTGCCATGCAATAATAAGACTTATTATCAACAACACTGTAAATTTGTAAATCACCACAATGAATTTACATATTCTCGTGCTTCATAGGAATAAAAATAATTTCAAATCACTAATTGTTTTAATTAGCATATTATTATAGATACATTTGCATGCCAGTATTTATTACTGTGCACCACGTGTCCACCGTGATCCACCATAATGATTTTATCTGTGCATGAAACATGTTTCAGTAACAGAAGTGTTTAGCATATTAACTCAGGTTCTGTTTTACACATTATCATTTAACACTAATGACACTGAACTTGAAAATAGGTTGCTTTTTATTATGACTGACATCTGCTGCAGTCAGAGCCACATGTGTACTGTACTTTCTTCCTCCTGCAGCTCCACACAGACATGGACCATGGAGACAACGCAGTGAAGTACACCCTGTCAGGAGAAGGAGCTGGGTCCATCTTCATCATTGATCAAATTACAGGAGATATACATGCACTGGTGGGGCTTGACAGGTCAGTAATAACAATACAGTAAAACTGTCGGAAGTGTAATGTAGAGCTTGAGTTTAGAAGACTCATATTGCACCTTGAGGATCAGGGAAGCTACCGCTTATGAAGGTAGTATAAATAATGTGTGTACTTTGTAATCACAGCAAAACAATATGCATAATAGGCCATGATGCTCTTAGACTTGTTATTGGAAATTTTGTGTGTTCCACTTACAATGGCTGCATACAGATGATAAAAGAATATGTTTTACTGACTTATATTTCAAAGCAAATTGCTATAGATGCTTTGAATTGGAATTGTCTATACCACTGTTGGAATAGTTTTATCTTACTGCTCTAACAATTAGAACAGCACAGAAGCTGTAGGGCACAGTGCAAACACCTGCTACCAACAGCCTTCTAGCTATGAGGATTCATTTAGAACTATGGTGAGTGAGGAAAAAAAAGATCTTTCAGTGATAATGACATATGGTGCACTATGTTGCCAGGGCACTTAGGCTTTAAAGTAACAGAAATCAATAAGGATTTAAAATAGAACTTCAATTGGACTAAGTCTGTTTTCTAAAAACGATAGCTTTGTGATAAAACACAAGCCATTGATTCATGCTAATGTAATCATTTGGGGGGGGGAATGTTGAACCTGACTCACCTTTCACTGCCTGTGCTATTACTTTGTTACATGAACAGCATGCTGTAATTGTAATGTGTACATCACAGTGTCACAGTTAGAAAATAGTTTAATAAAATATATGTTCAATATTCAGGTCATAGTTAAAGGTGGTGTTGTACTGGACTACATTATATTCAGGTGTTCTTAATATTCTGATTCTCTCATTATGTACAACATCACCTTTGACTATGACTTCAATAATAAACATAGAATTGAATTTATATATTTATGACAATTTCACCAAAAACTGAACATGTTGAGCTTCATAAACACAGATGTTAAGGCGGAAGTGTTGCTTAAAATTGTGCCGGTGTATTAATGTGGCCAGGCAGTGTATATTCAACTAATATATATTCAACTAATGCCATTTTTCTCATCCAGAGGTCATCAAATACATGTTTTCATTTTTTTAAAAACCTGCTTCAGTGCATTTTCATTGACCTGAAAGCCAGCTTGAAACTAATGGATGCCAGTGATTAACACTACAACATGGTAAACACACTATAAAGAGGATTTTACTAACTAATGTTAAAAACAGCCACAGAGACCCCAAGAGTCTGAGGTTAAAGAGGAGGGAGGTGAGAGGCCACTGCCATGACAATAACACTCATAGTCACTACTTACCCTTGATGCCTTTTACCACAGTCCATTGAAAATCCATGTATAGTCAAACATTTCATGTGTTCATGTATGTGTATATTGTTCAAATATTTCAGAGAACAAAGAAAATTGTCATTATCCTTTCAAGTGGCAAAATTTGATATTGATTATCATTGCTCATCCATCCTGGTGTTATCTGAAACACATATAGAAAATAATAAGAATATTTGTAAAGTCAGCAGTGTTGGCAATAACACAAGCTGACACCAAAACAATGTGGGCACCTAAATATCATGGAACAGAAACCTTAAACCCTGACTACATGATTGACTGTTGTAGTTTAGGAGCTAATAAAAATATCAGTGCATATTATACTTAATGTTTTGCAGGGAGGAAAAGTCATACTATACGCTGAAAGCCCAGGCTGTTGACATCCACACAGGCCTTCCTCTGGAGCCACAGTCTGAGTTCATTATCAAGGTGCAGGACATCAACGACAATGAGCCACGATTCCCAGATGGACCCTACAGCGCCAGTGTCCCCGAAATGTCCCCAACTGGTAAGAGTGCCATAGGTTGAGATGAGGCCAACAGCGCTCTTTCCAAGCTTACATAAACAATGTCAGTATGCACCTTCATATTCTACAAGGAATAAAGATTGAATAACCTATACCTCAGTTCACAAGAAGAACAGTGAGGGGTTAAATAAAAATAATGAACATTAAACAAGAGTTATCCCCTGGTGAGCACGAATAACCCCAGTATTATCCATCTGGTTTAAGACTGTGCAGGGTCAGAAAGTCACAAAAATACTAGGATTTATTCCATGACAAATATCTAAAGCAAATTTCATGCAGATATAAAGTTCCACCTGTAGAAAACTAAGTGCACTGATTTGTCCACAATACAGTAACTCTTGGCAATCTCATAGTGACATTTTAATTTGTCTTTTGTACACTGGTAGCATCAGATGAAAGGTTGAAGGGTCACCAAAAGCGTTAAGAGTCATCCTCAATGGACTGTGAATTCATTCAATTTAACAGCATCTGGCTGGTATTTGCTGAAATATCCTTGTTTAGCACATGCTGGATGGGGATTTGGGGGGGGTGGGGGAATCTAATGACAGAATGTTTGCTAGCACTTCGAAGTACAGGGAAAAGGAGTTTTTAAAAAATCAAATGTGAAACATTTTTAAAAACTCTTTTAAATATGAAAACCAGACTTTTGAAATTTTAAACAAGTAAATTTGTGAAGAAAAGCTGTAGCTGCAACAAAATCTCCTTTTAGCAAGTATTTAAAAGTAAGAGGAGATAAAATGATTTGTTATGTGTTTTGATTTAGACATATCAGTCAACCAGCCAATTCACACTTTTATACTGGTCAGTGTGATTCAAAGTGATTTACAGATGAATGACAAAAAATGTGAACAACAGAAACAAGATAAAAAAAAACAACGAGACTAATGCATGTAACATTTTAAATAGTATGATAAATACTGTATAACGTAATATAAAACACAAATATTTAATATTTAATATCGGTAAATTAGTTTTACTGAACATACTGTAGATACTGCGCACTCTGCACTGCGGTCATTGCAGTTCTGGTTAGTTGCTAAACTGTATTTTGTTGCCTTGTACTTGTACATGGGTAATGACAAAGTTGAATCTAATCTAAATGTGGTAATAGAACATATATAGAATGATATTTACTAAGCTCTTTGTTTTAGCTTGCTTGCTACTGTATATTTAACTTTGCACTTTACTTGGGCATATAAAGTAGTAGTTGTGGTACACATGTGTGCATGCACAGTACACTAAGCCAGACTTAGTGGCCCATCTGTCTGCTAAATACCATTACTGAGAGGTAATTTAACAGCCAAGGTCTTTAGGCCCTAAGCTGTTAATACTTCAGCTGAGGCCCAGAGTCTGATAGAACACAAGCTCCATCCCAGTATGTCTCTGTTACACTGAAATTCTGCTGTGAACAGTGTAGCAAATTAGCTTGGTAGCAAACAGCACGCATAACCATATGATAAGCACATAATCCTATTTGTGAGAAATTGGCTGCTAAAAATAGAAGCTGCCGTGTTTTCTCATTCCAAAGCATGTGGTGGCACTGTTTTCTCTGGAGATGCTGAATTTCCACAGAGTTTCAGGTATAATGGAAATAATTTTGAAAATGAATATAATTGATTCATACTACACATCTTACGTTATTTTGTTTGTGTCAAGGCCATAATGTTTTCCAAAACCTATGCATTTGAATTTTTTCTTTGTCAATCAACTTAACATATGACAAGACAACCAGCAGACTCAAAGGAGATGACAGAAAATGACTGAAGCTTTATATAATAAAATAAAAAGCAAAAACAAACAATTTGCATTGCCTACTTTTGACAGGGTATGTATAAGTGGTGTATGTTTGGTATAAAATAAAATTACTGTATACCAATCACAGCTGTTCTTGGCTTCTATGGTATGGTATATTATTTTAAATGCACATATTACCAGATAAGACACAGTTAATTTCTATATCAATATTATTTTCAGCACTCGCCATACAGAGACTAAAATCAACAATGAATTGCCTCTGCTCACAGTTAATGTCTGTCAGTCCTAGATTAGCTTGTTTGTCTGTGTGATATGTCTCTTTATTGTTCAGAAACAATTAAAAACACATCAGGGAAACACACCACTGCACCAGGTGACATGTTATTTCATTATAAATCCTCAGACCTAACTATGTTCCCCCAAAGGCTTCGAACATCCTCAATTCCCTGAAGTTAGCATGAGTCAGAGTCAACCGCACATGCGCAAGATCTTGATTGAGCTGTTTACGCTTGGGTCTGGTGTTTACTAATGATGAAACACCCAGTGCAGCGGTGTGTTTCACTGATGTGTTTTTAATCGTTTTTGAACTACACAGATGTCTACAGCACAGATAAATTTAGCTGATCCAGGACTGACACACTGACGGACATGAACCATGAGTAGAGGCAATTCATTGTTAGTTTTAGTCTGTGTACGCGGAGTGTTGAAAATACTGTTAATAGAGAAAATGACCCGCCTTATCCTTTAATAAGGGCATATTGTGTGTGTGTTTAGGAACCTATGTGACACAGGTGACTGCCACAGATGCAGATGACCCCACATATGGCAACAGCGCACGCATCGTCTACAGCATCCTTCACGGCCAGCCCTACTTTTCTGTGGACCCCAAGACAGGTGAAAGTATAGTGACACACTTTCATTGGAACTTCCACAAGAAACTAAGTGTTACCAATATAGCTGTGTGACTTTTGCATGAACCCACAACTCACAGTCCCAGCGGTATTCACTCCCTCCTAGAAAGCAAGAAAATAAACTGATCATGACACCGTGAATGGTTCTAAAAGTGAGCTTCTCCTGACTCCTGCACCTAAATGCTAAAAGAAGCACTGCAATGGACATAAAGATTTTCAGCCCTTTTACAGAGATCTCAACTGAGCAGTAATTACTCTGAATGTGGAGTGTTATGTTTCATTTTCACCCTGAGGAGTAGTATGCCTCACAGTCCAGCCTCTTCACCAGTACAGACGACATCAAAGGTTAAATCCTGAAACAAAGGTAGTGTTACTGGTGAAAATGTCAAAATAGTCCTGGAACCCATCAGTGACCATGACCAGTTTCTTTATCCATTAGCCATTTTTGTCATGATTCTATCCCACCTGTTTCCAGTCTCATGCTTTTATACTGACCGTGCTTTTGGTGGAAATCTTGGATTTGTGAGTTTGTTGGCTTTGACCCTGGACTGCATTATCGACCTGAGAGTGTTACTTGTTGAATCAGACTCCTGCCTTGTGTTATTGTTTGTGTCTGACCAGTGCGCTTATTAAAGAGACAGTGTTTTACTTATCCTCATCTGGCTATATAATTGAGGTCACCCTCAACATCATCGGTAGCTTTACACACCGATCCTGACAATTTTATTACTAATAGCTACTGTCAAATGTGTTACAAGGTTCTTCGTTCCCTTCTTTTTTCTGTCTCATAACTTACAAAGGAGGTAGTGATGATAGCGGTGGCAGGAGCACTCTGACCTGTGACTCCTGAACTGGAAGAGTGGCGCCAAGAGATACCAGGAGCAACATCAGAGCTCTCTTTCCAGAAGAGTGTAGTGCTAAGTACAGCTAAGGTATTACGCAGAACCCTCAAACTTCCAGGCCCCTGGTTAAAGACCTGACGTTGAGGAAGACATACACTGCCCTATAGGGATAAGATAGAAATTATACCCCTGCCTTTCTGTCAGATAACGCACCACTTTTCTCAGAAAATTGTTGCAATTGCAAAGTCATTGTTATTCTCATGTTTATTTCTATTGTTTGCATTGGAACAACACAAAACGCTGAGAAAAAGCCAAGTCTAATCCATTCCACACTGAACTCCAAACATGGGCTGGACAGGATTATTGACACCCTCAACTTAATATTTGGTAGCACACCCTTTGGACAAAATAACTGAAATCAGTCACTTCCTGTAGCCATCAGTGAGTTTCTTACATGTCTACTGGAATTTTGGACCACTCTTCTTTTGCCAACTGCTCCAGGTCTCTCGGATATGAAGGCCTCATTCCCCCAGCTGCTGTTCTGAGATCTCTCCACAGGTTCTCTATGGGATTTAGACCTGGACTCATTGCTGGCCACTACAGAACTCTCCAGTACATTGTCTGAAACCATTTCCGGTGCTTTATGAAGTGTGCTCTGGGTCATTGTCCTGCTGTAAGGCCCATGACCTTTGACGAAGACCCAACTTTCTGACACTGGGCCCTACATTGGGCCCCAGAATTCATTGATAGTCTTCAGATTTCATAATGCCATACACACAGTCAAGACATCCAGTGTCTAAAGCAGCAAAGCAACCCCAAAACATCAGTGAACCTCCATCGTGTTTGACCATAGGGACCATGTTCTTTTCTTTGAAGGCCTCATTTCATTTTCTGAAAGCAGTAGAATTGCAACTGAAGTCCTTAGTTTCCATCCACCTTAGCCAAATATATTTAAACTCAGTTTAATCCTATAAACATTCCCTGTCTTAGGTAAGATCACTACAGAATAATAGTAGAGTAAGATGTATTTAAGCTTTTGTTTCTTTCATCACATTCCCAGTGCACCAGAAGTTTGCATATGTTTGGTTAGTATTTGGTTTAACTTGGGCCAAACATTTCGGGATGCCTTTCACAAGCATCTTACAACTACCAGTTGCTGACAGCGTGTATCTGCAGACTTTATGTATCACTGTTAAGCTACATTACCCTGCCATTTCACAATAAAGATGTATAAACAATATAGCCACCAATGAGGCTGTAGATACAAACATTATATTAAAACAGTAAGAGAGCTGCACAGTTTATGCACAGTGTAGTGTGCAATGCAATACACACACGTACTGCTGAATAAAGCAGTAGTTGGTGATGTTCTCTTCTGGACAGCAAGTTAGAATAATCAATGATTTGTTTTCACACTAAAACTATTCTAACCAGGCACTCCTTTAAATTGTATGAATAAATATCCTGCATTAATCAACAATCAGAATTTTTTTTTTTCTGATGGCGCTTTTCCCCAAATGACCCATCACCTCTACATACCTACAGATGTCACTTGAGTCTGGTTAGATTCTGTTGTGCTCCTTACCCTCCCCTTTATCATTAACAGCATGCTGTCTACTCATAACATGTAGACTACAGTGCAATTGTTTGCTTTGTCTCTTGTTCCCTAAGCTGCAACCTAGCGTTCTGCTGCAGTCAATCAAAAACTGACACACCCTGCCAGCTGGTTTAGATGAAAAGGAGTGTTTTTATTATTCCCATAAGACCCTTTTTTGTCCCTTTAATAACACAAAACTATTAACAATACATTTTAAAAACCAGTAGGGTTACTTGCCCTGTAAACAAATACTGAATAGACCTAACAAATGCCACTACACTGCTGTGATAAAAGCCCTGCTGCAAACACATTGCTTTCTATATGTCCAGGTACATGGTGTAAGAGGCCTTGCTCTTCTTCATTAAATTACTACAAAATGTATTTTTGGACACTTCACATGTCCATAAAAAAGATTATCACTGTTGTATTTTGACATGCTCCCATTCACCAGGCCATGGTCGGAGATGTTTCAAACCATTTCCTGGTAATATACGGTTGATAACTGTACATATAAAATGTTCACATGGAACATTACAGCTCACAACAAGAAGCAAATTGAAAAATACCATTAAGCTCATCACAGGAAATGAGCAGTACAGAAAAGGAAGCAGCTAGGATCCTGTTGTGACAATATGCTGGTAAATACTGATAAGAAGGCAATTTTTATGTTCAGGGCATTGCTGTGGTGCCACACCAGAATGAATGGAGTGTAATGGATGTACATATATACAGGCATTAATGTTTCAAACATATTCAAACACCCACACTACTACCAACAGCGTCAGCAGCTAAATACAATCAACTACTGCCCACAGCACAGACTAGGGGCTTTAATGGTTCACTACCTGACTAACCAGTTCCTTAGTGAAAGCTTTTGGTTGACTATTTTGTCAAGCTTCTTTTTCAGGCAGTTCTACAGGCAAGTCCTCAGCATGCCATATGCTGTTCTGGCTGATTAGCTGCTCAGAGCACAGTCATCTCTAATCACACCGTCAAAGGAAGTCTTGAATTCATTTGCTTTAACTGACTAAAAATCATAATGAGACACTCTTCCATACCCTTTTCCAACCTCTCCTGCTCCAGGAGTGATCAGGACAGCACTGGCCAACATGGACCGAGAGGTGAAAGAGGAGTACCAGGTTCTTGTCCAGGCCAAGGACATGGGAGGTCAACTGGGTGGGCTGGCCTCCACCACCACCATCAACATCACCTTAAGCGACGTCAATGACAACCCACCACGCTTTGCTAAGAGTAAGAAATTTCAACAGTGATGTGATTGGTTGGATGGATAAATGTTTCGCTGACTGATTTACTTTCAAGAGGATAAAGAAAATCAGTCTTCAGGTTCTCTCTTTAATGGTGCTTAATTGTTTTGTTTATCTCTTCTCAGGCATTTTCCATCTGCGGGTGCCAGAGTCTGCATCAGTTGGCTCAGCAGTGGGCCGGATTCGAGCCCACGATCTGGATGCTGGCAGCAATGCAAAGGTGGATTATGCTATTGTTCCAGGAGATGAAGGCAACATGTTTGACATCATCTCTGACGGCCAAAGTCAAGAGGGAATCGTAGTCTTGAAAAAGGTACATGCGCTCTTTCTGATGTATGTGAGCTGTACTGCAGCAGTTTGATATCCGTTATGTTGGGGTACAGCATGCATATTCCTCAGTAATCGCAAGGTTTCAAAAGTTAGCAGTGAGTAGGTCTAGTATAAAGCAGTTATGGTTGATGCTGGCCGGTATGGGGTCTGGTGAAATTGTGTGTGTATAAATTCTGTATGGCTGAACTTTTTATGTCATATTACCACTCAACTTTTTATGGTATATATTTCCACACTATTAATTCCATCAGTGGACATGGCTGTAGTTAACACCTATTTCCAGAAGAGGGAGGAACATAGAGTTACATATAAGAGTGGAGGTAGGAGTACGCAGGTAGACTACATTCTATGTAGACGAGGCAATCTGAGAGAGATTAGTGACTGCAAAATGGTGGTAGGAGAAAGTGTAGCCAGACAGCATCGGATGGTGGTGTGTAGGATGACTCTGGTGGTCAGGAAGAAGAGGAGAGGAAAGACAGAAAAGAAGACCAAGTGGTGGAAGTTGCAAAAGAAAGAATGTCGTGAGGAATTCAGACAGAAGTTGAGACAGGCTTTGGGTGGTCAGGAAGAACTTCCAGATGACTGGGAAACTACAGCAGAAGTGATCAGGGAGACAGGTAGGAAGGTGCTAGGTGTGTCATCTGGAAGGAGGAAAGAAGATAAGGAAACATAGTGGTGGAACGAGGAAGTACAGGACAGCATTCAGAGGAAGAGGCTAGCTAAAAAGAAGTGGGACGTAGAAAGGACTGAAGACAGTAGACAGGATTACAAGAAATTGCAGCGTAGAGTGAAGAGGGAGGTGGCAATGGCCAAACAGAAAGCATATGATGAGTTGTATGCCAGGTTAGACACAAGGGAAGGTGAGAAGGACTTGTACAGATTAGCA